GTGTGTGTGTGTGTGTGTGTGTGAGTGTGTTCCATTCGTTATATAACGATTATGAGTCTATTACTTGATATTTTACACACACACACACACACACAGGCGGGTGCAAGGAGGTGGCCTTCGGCCACCCCACCGCACCCACACCGTCACAGAGGTCTGCCCCGACAATACTATCATAGCAACAGTACAATCGTAGAAGTCGTATGCCCCTGTGCAGGGGGGGGATGAAAGTTACTTCTCGTGGAAAGTTTAACGTTTCTGAACAGGGAAAAGTGTAGAATAGTACTCAATATCATACATGTATTATACATATTATACCTTAATTTTAAAATTGCAACAGTGCAATCATAGAAGTCGTACGCTCCTTGGAGGGGGGGGGGGGGGGGGGATTGATTGTTAATAACTTTTTAACGAAGGACGAGCGACGGTTAATACCTGCCAGAGGTTACTCAGGGTCATGACCTTGACAACATATGTCAAGGTCAAGGTCATCGGGAGGTGGTCCCCTTTTGTAAAGGTTTACCTTAAGTTTTCTTAAGAGATCCCCTTATTTCTTGGAAATTAACTATTACACTTTATTAATACTAAAAACATGATCTATTTAGATATTTAAAGAAAAACTCACAATTCATATAAATATGGCTCATTTTTATGTGAAATTAACAAAAAACAAATTTTATAAATGTAAAAATAAAATTTGTACAATTTTCTTTCGTAAATTACGTAGTTTAAATAATAACTGATTACATTATTGATAACGTTATAATGTTTCATAGTAGTTTGTAATATCCTCTAAATCAGTTTTCTTTATACACACATCTATATATTTTTAAATAATATAGCTTTAAATATAAAATAAGGGTAGGTGAAACTATAAGGGTCTGATGTCCGTATTCATAGTTAGATCTTGTAATTGAGGCTTCCTTTATCTTTAGATGCTCTGTAGCCAATAAAACAATTCGTAAAAAACCTGAAGATAAATTTAAGGAAACATTAAATATAAGATCTGACCATGAATACGAGTACAATAAATAATACGAGTAAGTTGTAACACTTATATAAAAAATATTCTAGACAAAATACACAAGCATAAGGAAAAGACAGAAGTTTGTAATATAAATAATTACACTGTCTCTTTTTTACGCTTGCGTATTTTGTTTATAACGTTTTATTATGTAAATGTTATAACTTATCCGTGTTTTTACCTCTATCTCCCCTACAGCGTAAACTAGTACACCTGTCTATAAGACACACCATAAGCTAACTTAATCTTAATAGTCTTGCGTTATAAGTGTCTTAAATAGTCTTATCAAAGATAAAAATAATTATATGTATTTTTGGAATAACCCTCAAGAAAGGAAATTGTGCGTTACATGTTTACGTCTTGCAGAACAGCATAAAGTATATGTATATGAATCAACAAAAATGTGTTTTATGTGGAAGTGAAAAGACACTAGAAAAAAATCAAGTGTATACGTTTACTTGTACGTACTTTGTACAGATAATTCCTGTGGCAGAAAAAGAATAGAAATATGTGGCATTACTACCTATTGTGTCAATTTCAGGGTTGGTCAGAATGGAGTTTTTTAAAAAGAACAAAACATTTAGCTTTTTTGTTTAATATAAACATATGATTTACGGACCATGTGGTGATTGGTGTTTGAAAGATGGAAAATTTACTAAACATTTTCCAAAAGCTTTTAAAAATGAAACAATAATGGATGAAGTTTATCTGGAGACACGATAGTGTCTCGGTGCTAAGCCAGGCGCAGCGACACTGTCGTGCATCCTTTACGCGAAACTGAGAATTTCGGGGGATTGAGATGATCAGATCTCAGTAACGGCTGAACCGATCATCTTCTATATACGCTCAATCGATAGAAAATACTTAAATTGTATAATAAAAGAGTGCTTTTATTTTTTTTTCTACGTGCTCTACGAGCGGAGATATCGCGACACAAAGTTCGAATCTGTAACTTTTCACATCCCCCGAAATTCTCTGATTCGCGTAAAGGCACGGCAGCGTCGGCACTACCGTGTCTCCAGATGTTTTATATATGTTTTAAACAGCTTTAGAAAAAAATCATGTTTAAAACAAAATAAAAGTTTTAAACATATATTTATATTTTATGTTATAGCCTTCCTGGTAACAAGCTGACGTCAAAATGCAGCTTGACGCCATATTGGATCGGCCGTTTTAAATTTCATACTTTTGACGAATTTCAGCGACCCCAAAAATCTCCTAACATATTTTACTTTTTAACATTTTCAACTTATATTTTAACTAATATGTTAAATCTACTTCTTACCTTTAAAGGATAGTTTTCACCTTTTAGAGTGAGCCGAGTACGTGTCAAATATTTTTCATAGTTCTACAAATTTGCAAAGTTTTATTAAAATCGGTGACTGACACCTCCGTAGGTTTACTTGTTTAGAGTTCATTGTTAGAAATTATGCAAGAGGTGTATAGACGGCTGAAAAGTATTTCTCAACTCGGGAAACATATGGTTCTATTTTTATGTAAGATTCGTATTCAGACTCAAAATATTATATATAAGAAAATAGCTGGGTTTCCATCAGAGTACAGGATACTTTTTTTGTGGGCCTGTGTTATTAATCACAATTACATTATACCGTGTAAAACGTAATTGGGGTACCATAATACTATTATATCACCTTTTCCTGTGCTAAAAATTAAAAAACAATAACGTTTTAAACACTTGTTTAAAAGAAAATGTTTTAAACAAAACAATCCTGGTCAATTTTAAAGTCCATTTTCCCTTGTGGAAAAGTATTACTGCGTAATAGTATTTTGAGATACTACTACACTACATTAATTATAGTATAATAGTGCGGATAGTATCGTAATACAGTAAGTAGTGCCTCAAAATATTACTGGGCAATAGTGATGCTCAGTAGCACTTTTCTGACAACAAAGATTGTCAGATTTTTATTTTTACTTATTTTATAAAAAAGTGAATTATTGCAAAATTGCAAACAATATTATAAAAACTGCTGTATATATTATCTGATAGTAAATACTTCCTTCATATTTATGTGTTTCTAAAGTTTTACTTATAGTTTTTGTTCAATAAATATTATCTAAAAGACACAAAGCATTATATCGGTATCGGTGACCTTCCTCTACAATAGCATAACATATAGACAATTTTTCAACAAATAAGTTTTTAAAGTATTTAGTTAAGTGAGTTACTTATAAAGCTTTTCGCATTGCTTTACTGTCAATTTATATGATTATTTTGAACGTTGTTCCTAATTTGTATGTACCTATACGTGCTAGAAAATTTTATTGGCTCAACATTGGAATATTTTTTATCTTAATAAATAATAACAACAAAATGCTCGTTACGTTACATAACAATAGCCAATCAAATTTAGAAGAAACGATTGAATAAACGGAGAGAGACCAAAAAAATAAAAATACAATATTAAAAAATGCTTATGTAATTATATATTTCGAATTTATATAAGCGACAGACGGTTCCGTTTCACAGTCTTTTTCAAAATCTATGAAATGCACTTTTTGATTTTAGCTGTGATAACAGTAAACATTAGTATAAAGAGGCTCTAAGCTCGTGAACAAACCTAGTGACCCCAATATTGGAAGAGCGCAGTCTATTGTGTGAAACTCACGAAGATGGATATAACGTAATGAAACTAACTAGCTTGGTCTAACCAATTAACTGACCCAAGCACGACATAACATTTAACATACAGTCGCTCGTTCATGTGGCTGTTTATATGTGTGTATATGTACAGAATTGTATGGAAATTTGCTGCTAAAAAAGATTACTCGGCAAATTAATCGCGCTGAGCAATTAATTGACCTTAAATTAAAAATGCTTCTCGTAAATTATTAAATTGCGACGTGCAAAATTTTATTTAATATAAATGTTACCTATATATAAGCTATGAAGGTCCATTAAGAATAATTTTTGGTTAAAAATGGACAAACCAGAAAATTTTTTATTTGGTTTTCTCAGCTAGAATTTAATAGATTCAATCAGAAAATTTTAATTTTATTTTCAACCTGATTTTAATTTCGAAGAATTCCAATTAATGGAACCTGACTCTTAGTAACACGTAATTTATTGCTATACTGAAAAGAAAACTAAATAAATATTTGTTTAAATAATTCTAATTAAATATTTACTAAATTTAAACATACATTTATCTAATCCAAAAACTATTGATTCGATTTAATTATCATTTTTTATTGAGTAAGTATTTGTTTACTATAAATAAATGTTTACTTATATTAATACTATTAAAAAAAATAGGTATTATGATTTATATAATACAATTTTTTCCTATTGTATGTATTATATTTACTTTCGATGCGCGTTTAATTATTAGTTACGATGTACTTATATCTGACGAATCCAATTTACGAATTCTTAGTAACTATAATTCACACTACATTACGCCGTAATTTTGCCGGCGCGTCTGACTACAAAGTCATAAGTTTCACTGAATGAAGAAGGGGCTGAAATCGTGCGATGCTTCCGTGTGACCACCTCAGAAACGAGTCACCTAACAGACTTACCTGGTATCTCTCAAGGGTGTTCTTGAATGTGTCAATTTTGACACGCTTTCCCCGATCGAATTTACGTGGGGAGAGCAAAAAGTGTCCACCATAAAAATCATCCGTTCGACGAGTCCAAGAATGGCTGAGCTTCCGAGCCATAACCCCCGTGCAGCTCGGGAAGGGGGTGGAGAATCTGGTGGATGGTATAAATTTTCTGAGGTTGCGCATCGTGCTCGTCGGAGCCTGAAACCCGCGGTGGTGCCCAAGCACGAAGCAGAGCGCAAGTGGTGCCGAAGGAAACCGGTGGTCCTCCGCCCGCCGCGCAGGATCCCGTCCGCGTACGGCGGTTCAGTCGCGGTCCCGTGTTCGGCGCACGAGTGCACTTTGTGCGGGACGGTAGCGGGATCGTACGAGGGCGCCGAGATGGGTTTGAAATTCGTCGACCCGATTATTGAGTGATTCGATGTAATTCCTGCGGCGTCTATTTGTACACGCCGCACCTAGAATAAAAAAGAATCACGGTAATGTAAACGGTCCGTCATGTTGTATTGTATGTAGTTCGTCACATGTAGTGAGTTCATTTCGTTTTTTATGTGCTCTATTTGGCGCGCAATTTTTAACAAGTATATAGATCTGCAGAGAAGGCGTCAATTATATTTTTTTTAGTAAATGAGTGTATATCTATTAATACAATTAATGAGATTTGTATAAATATAAAAAATTAATTATATTGTAACATCTTTTATATTACCAAATAATATTTACCTTTCTTAATTACAAAATTATTAAATTTATAACTTTTTATATAATTTTTAATCGATTTCTATATATGGTTAGCTTTTATACAGCTTTACATTCTAATTAACTTGACAATTTTATGAATCAATAAGTTCATAAATTTATCATGTACACATCTCATGTCCCTTCGTATATATGGAACATTTTCAGATAGAACTAAAATCCCAACGATACATATTCATATCTCATTGTTTATTCAATCCTTTCGCATGTACGTGCATATATCATATACGTATATCATACAGTTTCTTTTATTTCACTCAATCTATCTTTTTCCCCGACGTTAAACGATCGCAAAAGAAAATTTCTTTTATGCGTTATAATTTCGATTTCACGTTCTCAAAACTTAACTCAATCTTGAGTGTAATAAAAAGCTCGCTGTGTTGCGTAGGTGGTAAAAAATTATTATGTAGTATCTTTTCTCGGGTCTTCGTATTCCCGATATCGAATTTGGCGTCTAACCAACGAACTAACGATCTCGGTATCGGAGAGTATCATGCTTTCCTGAAAAGACCAAATACTTCATAAAAGTAGTATCTGTGTGAGAATCACAATAAACGATTGTCATTTCGTGTCTTGGAAGAATATCGCAGATACATATCGGAGTTCGTTGAAAATGAGGACAAACGTACCTCGCGAGCATTAATTTACGCTTCGCAGGCGAAGGCGGAAGAAAACGAGAAATGCTACTTTTTATTACTTACATCATTCTTTCAACGATATCTCCCAGGAAATTGCGAATTGTAGACAATGAGATTCATTTGCTCTCGACGACACTAATATCGCACGATGTCGAGTACGGCAATATGAAAATATGTGTATCCAACGAATACAGAACGTTCCAGGAAGCTGATTTAAATCCTTCAACGAACTCTAAATTTATTTTCCTCTGGGGAAAAATTGGCGCGATTCAGGAAGAAGATTAATCATTCCACTGCACTCGGGAACGAAAAGAAAAACGGAAGACGACGCGAATCTAAATACTTGAGTTTACAGAAGAAATTCGAACGATATGCTGTCTTTGATATCGCAGAATATAAGATAATAATTCGAGGAGCGGTCGTATAAGCGTCGCACGTTTACTTACAGACTATTATATGATTGCGTTTTTTAATAAACTAAAAGGATCGCAAAGACACGGGCGAAATAACACGAGGTAAAAAATACCGCGCAGAAGGTTTCGATTCGCAAAAGTATCGATATATACGAATCGCGCTCGTATCTCGTCGAGTGTTGTGGTGAATACAAAAATGAATACACCGAAGTGGAATTGTTTTCCTTTCGTTAGATTTCCCGACGAATATCTGTTAAATGATTCTCTTCAGAATAAAGCCGGAGGGACGGAGTTTCCAAGGAGGGAAGAATTGGGAAGAACCGTGTCAGGATCGATATTCCCATCGAGACAACTTTCGCGAAAGGCTTTTCATAATCTCGCTCTCATCCGAAACATCCGCCGTCGAAATGGCCTGGCGTGTCTAATGAATTCGCCAGGACGAACTTCCATCGCGCGCGCGAGGAAGCAAGGACGGTCCCGTCGAGAGCGTCAGCGTAACGTCAACATTAATACTGTTTCAGCCTTTATACCTTATATCCTTCCAGCTGTCCGCCCACGCGCCGAATTAATGTTTTCGCAGATACGGAGCCATTGATTTTACGTCAAATATGGTTACCAGGGTTCGGCTATCGGCGCGACCTACGTCGACGTTCGACTCGAACTGTCTGCTCGCACATGTTACTGCGTTAAATCGTCGACTACCTCAGCCAAATCCGAACAGTTATTCGTAAAAACCAGTTCGATCCCAATGGAGTTGCAGACGTCTGCGAATGTCTGCGAATTCGAGAGCGCTATCGGTTCCTTAGGGCCTATCAAGACAAACTTGAATGGCTGTATAATGCATATGCACCAAATCAAGCGATTAACCTAGGAATAGAGTCACTTGGAATGATTTTTATCGCTCCAAAATGATGCTCAGTAGTTTTTTTACTAATCGAGAATCCATACCTATTCTTTAAATTTCTCCTTACATGTTTTCAAAGATATTAAGTAATATTGAGTAAACCTGTAGGTAATATATAATCTTCAATACTAATTAATTATAGAATAATCAATAATATACAATAACATGTAATTTATGGCTACTTTTAATTGAGGTTTAAAAATCATTCCAGGTTCTATTAAAAAACTGGTGATCATTTCTGGGTCAAGTGTCTGATGTAAGAATGCCGTTTTGCTTACGTTCTTCATAATACATGCGTGATCAGTTAATTTTTCCTTGTATATATTAAGGTTATGATACATAAAAAGATAAGATGTAAGCTGCAGTTATTAGCGAATCAACCAATAGAGATGTAAAGCAATAACGCAAGCTGTAGCAAATCCAAATTTACTGCTTATATCTTAATAATTCTTTTTTGCGTTTCATAATTTTTACTCTCTAAAATTTTTAGAGTGAATTTCTCTCTGAAGAATGAAATGTCACTCTCAAATATTAAATATTGATCTACGAATTGAGACTCTTTTTCAAGACTGGTTCAATTTTCACTCTTTAGAGTGAGATTCCCCTCCAAAGAATTTAGAGAGTATGCAACTATGCAAGCTTATCCGGATAAGCTCTTAACTCATCATCACTTGTCATACCGACGAGAAATAACTGCATATTATAAACGATATTTTTATCGCAACAAACGTTCTTACATGTCTCTTCAGCAAAAGGAAAAAAAAACTGATTGTTCCAAGCTCTGACGGGAAGATGAAAGAGAAAACAAAAGCGAATATTAATTGAGGGCGAAGTCAGATAGCAGACGCAGAACTCAATCGCGCTGTGTGTATGGATTACATCCACTCGATTCGCACACATTCAAATGCGCCTGCATTCGTCGAATTAATGCGATGGATTGTATCCGCTCTCTGCAATGGACACGTTGCACACTTCGCGCAACAACGTTCCTCGTCACGTGTCCCTCTCGATCGGAGGGTGGAAACCAATCGAACACCAACCATTCCACAAACGATAATCAATAAACACATTTATACGCCCATATACAAATCTCTCCGGTTTTAGGAATTATAAATCAATACGCGTTAATCAGATGGACCCGTTCTTTAAAATCCTCCCTCTATGGTCACAGAGTTGTTGTTATCAAGACATGAAATTGGGTCATGCCCATTTATTTCAAGAGAGAGTATACAGAAACGAAATCAAATGGCCGAATTCCGGGAAAACAAAATTAATCAAATCAAACGGAATTTATCAAAGGCTCTTTTACGATCTGCGTTCAATGTTTTTATTTTAGAGGCCTTTGATATATAATTACCCGTATAATTTCCTGCGGACATTTTCTTACACGTTTTGTACGGTCGCATGAACGATTTCCGCGCGCAAGAAATGAAACCTTTTGCTTTCGAATGGCCTTTCCTATGATTGGAAGTAATCGGATCAGAGGCAATTTCCGAACCGTAAGAGAACACGTCCTCGAAAGGAACAACTTTAATTGAATATCCGCGCTTCCGCTGAATAATATTATTTTGTTTCCGATGATAACGACGATGGCTAGTTTGAACTTCGGCTAAGAACACAGTTTGCAGTTCTTCACTCAAACGATTCAGAAATCAATTTTATTGGGAGGAATAATTCCCCGCGTTGTGAGATAAAAATAATAGACGTTATGATTAAAGTGAAGTTATCAAATAATTATCATCAGAGAAGACTCTCCTTTTCAGAGATGTAAACCGGAGGTACATCGTCGCCGCGTGACCGACAAACTCTTGCGAAGTTTTCTCATTTCGAGTTCGTTAACACGCAAAACCGCCGGCTTACCCAGCGATCCGTCTCAAATAGACGAGAGCCTCCTCGACTTACATATAACGTGAATTATGCAGAGTTACTTCGGGATCTGCGCCTAAAGATACAGAGCATGGATTGCACCATCCATATAAAAAATTGATCGATAAAAATGAGAGAGGTAGGACGCGAAAACGATCAGTCTCTATCGCTTTCTATTCAACCAATCACAATATCTTAGAAAAAGAGAGAAAGAGATTGGCCGCTTTTTATGCTAGTCTCTTCTCTCTCATTTTTGTTGAGCACATTTGATATTATATTTAGCAGAATTGGGAGAAGCATTACTTTTTTTGTTACTTTTATAATAAACAGGACGTTGTAATTTTTTATAATTAAACGCTAAGATTGTGCTAAGGTTGGAAAAGTCGACTTTTCCAATTATTTATAAAGTTTAGTTATAAAGGGTTGCAACGTCATTATCAAACTGTTTTTATTATAAAAAGTAACGGAAAAAGTAACGTTTCCCAACTCTGCTGTTTAGATATGCGGATGACACAATCCGTACTCTATGTCTTTGATTGAAATTTCTCGTAAAACTCGTAAGAACTTATGACTAGTATTCTAAATATCTACGATTTTTTTCTTGTAAATCTTTGGCTGTCTAAAAAGCTGTCTATAAAGATATTGTATAAAGGTATAAAAGCACCTGTCAAGGTTAAAAGTTCTTGTCTAAGTCTTACAAGAATATATTACGAGCCTTGCGATTCTGCTTAGAATTTAGGCATAAGTTAAGTTACGTAATTCGCCCCGATTTGGATTCGAGGTGCAGATAATTGTGATGCTAGGCAGCTGCGATTACGACGGAGATAACAATGGGAACGATCGTAAGTCGAACTTTGGGGATAGTAATGGGGATGCAAAGTAGTTGATATGCGAAATATAAACACGTATGTACAGCGGGGTGGGTCAATAACGTTTAGTTTAGATCACGCGCGCGTGCTCGTACAATGTACACACATCGCGTATAGGTACATACAAGTATAGGTGCAATATATGCATATACGGGTGACGCACGAAATCCTGCGATTTGTGAAGGAAACTCAGGAAGTAAGCTCGCGTTTGCCAGTTATGCCGCGGCTTATCTATTCCGGCCTCCGATCCCCGAAATTTGATAAAATCCCGCCGTTCTCACACGCACGTAATCACGCAACCCTATCGTTACTTCCCGAAACAAGTCGACCACCCGCAGTGGAGATACTCTAGATAGATCATATAGTATCCTCAAGGTAGAGTAGGGATCTATAGGTGATACCGTGAATTATCACGTAGATCACCCACAAAGATAGAACGTCTTCGTTTGGACGCGGTAAAGGTTTTGAAACGAAAACTAGCCGCAGTACCAAGCGCACAACACCACGAGCACACAAAACTGTCGTTCGAGGAATTATTTATATATTTATTTTCGTGGAAAAAATTATACGGAAAGAATAATTAAAAAATATCTAATTTACGAACGATTTATACACGATTTATATTTATAATTTAAGAACGATTTGAAAATATCTAAAGATTTAGCTAAAGATTATAGCTAGGTATAGAAAATAATTTTGTTAGATCATTAAAATAGTTATGTAGGATGTTCAAGTTGATTGATCTAAATTTTTTGCGTGGTTAGATATTAAAGAAGCAATATGATAACTTAATCTCTTGTATTCAATATAACATTTTATATATTTTTAACTTTTATATGTGTCAAAATATAAGTCAATCCATTTCTGCACGGAAATAACAGATTTGTTGAAGTATTTAAAAGTTTAGGTAGATGCAGATCTGAGAATACCGAAGCTAGCTCTGAAAATAATTTTGTTGGACTATTAAAATAATTATGTAGGACACTCGAAGTGGTCTCTAGAATGTCAAAACTTTTTGCAGCATTGCTTGTTACGTTCGAATCTTTTACATAATTATTTTGATGGTCTAACAAAATTATTTTCAGATCTCTGTATTTACCTAAGTTTTAGGTACTTCAACAAAATCATTCTTTCTGTGTGTGTAATTAATTTTAAAGTAAACAATGTTCTGCAGTTAATAAATAATAAATTAAATTTGAGGCAAATGTAGTACATTTTCATTAAATTGTTTAACTCCATTGTTTTATTTAAATTATGAAATATTGAGCAGGAGTAGTAACGACTTACAGAAATGATTAAAAGTAATTCAATTGGATATAATTTGACATTATAAATTTAACAGCGTACTCATTATGTTGAGTATCCTACATAATTATTTTAATGGTCCGACAAAATATTTTCAGAGTTGTATTTAGCGAAATTTTTAGATACTTCAGCGGAACCGTTTTCTTATGCAACTTCAAATGTTCTCGGAAGAAAGTTTCAAAGAACTGTATGAAACAATACCGGAGAATGATTGTACAATTGAAATTTCCTGAGAATGAAATCCCGATACTTTTTTATTAATGCCGTCGCGAATGTCATCTTATTCTACGAATTTCGTTGGCCCTGTCTGACCATATGGAGACCATTTCCACTCACTTCCTTAAAAGTAGTTTAATGACGGTAATTAGCCCGAAATTATAACTTCTCTGACACCTTCAAAAGTTTTCAGATTGCAACTAAGGAAGATGGCTGAGGAACAGCCAAAGTACAAATTGATCTACTTTAATGCACGAGGTCGTGCCGAGCATATTCGCTACATATTCGCTTACGCGAGCATCGACTACATCGACGAAAGGATCTCCAACGATCGTTGGCCTGAGCTTAAGAAGTGTAAGTGCTAGGAGTCAAATTAAAATAACTTGCAATATATAAATTTGTTGCATCTCACGAATTCTAATAAACTCAAGTAAAACTTTACACAAAAAATTCAATTTTAATTTAATTTCAATTGCAAATTGCAAAATAACTCATCATTACTTTACAGTTACAATGTTTTATCATTATATACTTAAGCGGAACGTATTATTAATTTTTTTTAAATTTGTTATTATATAATTATTGTAAGTAAATCTTCTTCTCTTTTTTTTTATTTATATATACCATTATATTTTTTATATTAATGTTTACAGAAATGATTATATTAACAATGGTATATATTTCTATAATAATTTTATCCATTAAACAAATTTTGAAGTTTGAGGAGGACTCAATTCAGAATCGAAACTGGTTACATCACCATTTAAGTAGATTTTAAGTAGTTTTTTGTAATCATATTTTTAACAATTTTGTATTCTTAGTTTAAATACATCAACATTTCCATACTATTTTTAATTTTAATCTTAATTTAACTCTTACTTCGCCCTTTTATTGTTATTGATTATTATTTACATACAGAGTCCTTGTTATTTTTCAATTTAATTTCAATTGTAATTAAAAATTAAATTCACGTTGAACGTACATAAATAATAATCCACGAATAATAGATACAAAAAAGATACGCGAATACAAAGAATACATTAGCAAACACGAAATAATTCGAACAACCTAAAATTAATCGAAGGTGTACGATAACGTTCTTATCGATGACTCGAGAGAAGACAAATTACTCCGAATCCTTCGCTGCCACTTAAGCTCGCGCTTAAACACGACCCGCCGATTGCTTTCTCTTGTTCACAGCGATGCCTTACGGGATGCTGCCAATTCTGGAGATCGACGGTAAGCCGATAGCGCAAAGCAACGCCGTGGCGCGTTACCTGGCCCGTAAACACAATCTCGCGGGCAAGGACGAATGGGAATCGATGATGTGCGACGTGCTGGTCGATACCTTGGGAGATTTGAAACAATGTAAGTGATACATATACCCGACGCAGTCCAGAACGGTCCCGAAAAGCCGCTTACAACCGTCTCTCCCTCTCCACCTCGACACCGAATCGATATTCCTTTTCGGTCACGGGTCTCTCTCGAGTGGCGATTTCTCGTTTTTTGCAGAGGATCGCTACTATCGACGACGTAAGTTTCGAATCGCTCCCGTCATGCGACGGTTTTACTGTTAAAAAACTTAAAGTTACAGGACGGTTTTCAATAAGAACACAGTGTGACACAGTGAATTATTTCAACCTTGTTTAATGTTGACGAATATCAAGGATGTAATGATTTACTGTGATACACTCTGTGTCTTTGCTGGAAAACTTCTATAATTAGGCCCTAGGTTTGTAACTTTTAGGAACTTCCCAGCAGAAAACACAGATAACTCAGTGTAACACAGTGTGTCATTTGTGTCTCTCAACATCCTTGTTGTTTGCCAATGTTAAACAAAGATAAAATGGTCATTGTGTCACACTGTGTCTCTCGTTGGAAAGCACCAATTACATTCCTCGTTGTTTACCAATGTAAAACAGAGATAAAACAATTACTGTGTTAAGACCGGAGCATGCAGACTTTGCATAATGCATAAAGTATAAGAAAAAATCGATCAATCACAGTTTTTTATTGAAGAAAATGAAGGGCTTTGATTGGTTCATTTTCTTATATATTATGCGTGTTATGCGTTATGCAAGACTATTCCGCCTTCACACTGTGTCTTTTATTAGAAAGCACTATTCACTGAACCAAAATTGTACATAAATACTGCAAAAAATAAAATGTTAATTTTAACTCAAAGACGTTGAGCGGATTTTCTGAGACTTGCAAAAATGTTAATTCATTTTTTCATGTCTCAGAAAATCCATTCAACGTCTTTGAGTTAAAATTAACATTTTATTTTTTACAGTGTACAGTAAAATATTCATTGAAATTGGTTCAATATTAATGAAAATTGGTTCAATGAATTCTCATAATGCTTTTAGATTATAAAACTATTACTAGAATTTATTTCAAGAATAAATATGTAATTATATTAATGAATCCAATTATTAATAAACTAATTGGATATTAAGTTGGACATTGATTAACGATTATTCGTTGGACCAAAATTTTTTCAGTGCTCGTGATAACAATAACGATATCGTTACATTGACGTTGCATAGATTTTATATACAGTAAAAAAGCTCCGCAACGACATGTAACGATATATCGTTATGTTATCTACTAAGAGAATAGTTATACAGAATAAAAATCACAGAGAATCGAGGCAAACGTTATTCTATCCTTCTTTAATAAATAACAAAACTACTATAGAACGACACTCATGTCGATTGTGTCTTATCTGAAAGGAAAACAAGCCCCATCAAGTTTGCAAGTTTGAACGTCAATCGATAGCTTCGATCAGTGATACTCGAGTTCTTAAAGAGATGTGGAAGATTGCGCCGTCAAAAACGAAACGGTCCATCGAAGATGCTCCCGGAGATAAAAAGAAAAAGTGCAACGCGGGTGCGATGTTCGACATAAATTTCCGGGAAAACTCCGGAATGGCGGCCCAGTGACGGGTGCGAAAGTAGTTCCGCTTTTCGCTTCTCTGAAAGACACGCGCGATCTCGCGCGACCTATATTTCCAAACTCCCCGAGGTCGTGATATAATCGAGCGGACGGCTATCGCTCCGAAAAAGCGTTCTCGCGAAATCTGACGTGGTGCGTTGTACCGTAATTAGATCACCGCCAACGTAATCCCTGAATAATAATGCGCGCAACTCTAATTAGACGCTTAATGAGATCTTGTAGTATCGGGGATTTAGGAATTTAATCTATTCGTTCAATAAACAGCCTTTGAGAGTATTCGGATATCTACAGAGCGTAAATAATAACGTATTTTATTATAATAATTGCACAAGGGGACGAGCTACTAAAACTCGCGCACGATTTACTTTCCAGGTATCTTTCAATTTCGCACAGAGGAGGATCACTTTAAGAAGGAGGAGAAGAAGGCGAAGCTTCTGAAGGAAACAATACCGTTCTACTTGAATAAGTTCGAGCAAACTGTTGCTGAGAATGGTGGTTACGCAGTCGGTTCTACGGTAAAGAGAAACCTCTCTTTAACGATTTTGCTTTTATGAGAGTCTGTTTAATTAAGTATAAATTGAAGCAAACTAAATTATGTGCAGAGGAATATAAAATGAGTAAAAATAAAATATTATTTGCCGTTCTCTGTTCGACGCTTTCGTTGGTAAAATCGAATAGAATGATATATATCTATATATAGAATAGAAGCTTAAATGCATTGCACGAACGTCGGAGTATCGCATATCCGGGACTTTTAATTAAAGCAGTTCTTTATGCGGTATTACGACTAAAAAAAATTCCGTTTCGATGATAAATCGTCCGTTGTTTTGCAGACCACGTGGGCGGACTTCGTGTTCACCGTGGCGTTGGAGAACTTTGAGAACATTTTTGGCGCGACTGCCTTAGATAATTATCCGGCGTTACGCGGATTGAAGAAGCGGGTACATGAAATTTCAACGATCGCCGACTGGTTGTCACGGCGACCTCATTCAGAGTTTTGAAATGTCGATGCAATGATGGAACCCGGAAGGCGACATCAACGGCATCACAAACAAGTACATATCTCACACTTACAGCTCAGTATCCTGCATCGCTGTAACGGCGATCGATATTAATCGCGACGTCATCGGTAACACGACGCGCTTTGCGTCCATTTCCACATAACACAGTTCTAGGAGGGACGTTTTTAGGACATTTCCAAATCATGTTGTGGACCGTATTTTCTATTTGAGTTACTTGAATAAATATTTCTCTAAAATAAATATTTTTTAAATTAAGTTTTCTAAATGTTTTAATTTCGAAAACTTTTACATGACATTTTATTATCAATCACATGAAATAATACATTAGTCTAAAGCTATGGGAAAAATTAATATTGTTTGTATATCGTTGGTCGGGCAGAAAAAATGCACGATCTCGATTATTGTTATTACAAAAAATAAGAGAATACCATCGTTTTGACTTCAATCAGATTAATTTCGTCCCATATGTGCGAGTTACACGAACTTACATATCATCGATCGATCTTCAATCATTTACAACACTCGTTTTCGCCAGCAAATTATACGAATAATATGCGCAAGATTACTGTCGAATGGATGACTAGGATCAAATGAAGCTTGGTCAATGTGTTCATTTATCGCGCATCGTGTGCGTAGTGCGGCGTGAGTGATGCATTGTTAAAATATATGACTTCTGTCGCTGAGATAAAAACCGAAAAACGCGACAAGCGTGATATCCCGGATAGATGTCTCGTATTTCTTTTTTTTCCTAACAGATCTAAGCCGAATGAGCAAGAGTAAATGAACTACTCGCTTCAATAAAGACGGCGACATTCGTGGCGAAAATAAAAATCGAGGTCGAATGTAAGAAGAGAATAATAGAATGAAGCTCCTTGGAGGCGAAAATTGAGACAACGGAACGTAAAAGAGGCATTTACGCTTTCTTTATATTTCGTGGTTTCAATTTTCGCCTCCAGAAGCTTCGTTTATGATCTTTTTTTTTTTTACTCTTCTTTTACATCCAACTCCCACTCGAATTTTTATTTTCACCAGAGATAACAAGTCATTCGTTTGTGTTTATTCAAGAGTCTGGATCTGTGTTTGTTCAAGATCATTTTTATACCGCTACACTGGTAACATTAGCAGTTGAGATAATATTGAGGTTTCGATTACACAAGATCTCGATGCTTCGTAGAGTATCATCCTTACTTGTTTTGCACGAAATATGTCCAGTCAGAGTCGAACGCGGTTGTAATAATACACAGGGTAATATTAAATGTACGAAGAGTAAGATCTATCGAACGAATGAACGTAGAGTTGTAAATGCATATACAATTCTGCATGCGTATTTTATGTACAAAATTTTGCAGCCAGCACAGGAAAATGCAAGAAATGCAACAAAATAGAATGCAGTTAATAGGATTGATTGTAACAAAGATTTAAAGGTATGTAATTTGTAAACATTATCATGCTTTTATCAATAAGACGGCCTCTTTATAAATGTACTAAATAAGCTCAAGCCCGATGTACTTCATAAGATCATTGTGTTTGAACGAGATAATAAACGAGAAGATGTGCTTGTAAAATATACCTTGCCATTAGAACGGGAGCAGCGGAAATAATGGTAGACTGTTTAATGTGCTACGATGAAGATGACAGAAAGCTTTGTTTTTTCGTCAGCGTTTAAAGACGTGTCCGCAGGTACGGCAAAATATAGTCAATTGTAATGATCAAACAAGGTCTTTATAGGAGAGAGAACTGGCTGCATGAGTTATAATGTATATATGTTATTACGATGCGACGTTATATATATATATATATATGTAATGTTAAGTATATTATTAAGTGTTGAGATTCCAGATGATGTAATATAAATGTTATTACGATTACACAAAGGACGGTATGACTGATAATAATAATGTGATGCAAACAATTATGAGTCCAATTGATCTTACATTAATGTCGTATATATTATAATATCACGCTTCATTCATAAAGTATAAAAAATATGAAAAATTTATGTGCATATATCACTTACCATTTGACTGAATTATGAAATATGCCTATATATCAAAGTCTATTCGTTTTTCTTGCGGTTGAATTATCTTATTATTGCAAACTTCGAAGCGGTTGCGCGGTGATTATCCACGATCTATAAATACAAGAAAATCTGAAACAATAATTAGTAAAAAGAATTATTGTATGTTCTTAATTTAATTTGATTAAAATTATAATATTCAAGAATTCGGTAATAAAACTTTTTATGCATATTTTATATATTTTCGCGTTTATACATGTATAATTTCAATTTTTTTTTGTTTCAAAGTTTGGATCAACTATATAATGATTATTCATATCATTAATTATACAAAAATATGAAACAAAAAAATATTGGTAAAAATTAGATCTGAATTATATATTTTTTACTTAATTTAATTAAAATTGTAACATTTAAGAATTTTCAGGGGGAGTCTTAGATCGAGATTATATATGAAAGGATTTCGCGTGTGTCGAATATATACGAGAATTGGCGCGAGTCTCTTCCTTGGACCTCTGGTGGCGGGTCGTCAGTCATCACAGGGGAAAAGATCGTGGTTTGAATTAAGAGCTGATTTGATTTGAAACCTCAATCTCTTTTCTTGTTGTCTACGTTCGCCTTTGGTAGGCATGAAGGTACGCGAAAAAGAATTATGGGCCACGCTATATTGGCAGCGCCGATCATAACAGCCCTCTGAAAGCGTGATAATTATGAATTCTCCGAAGAGGCGGTATTATAGACGAGGGCCACGCTATTGGCAGCGACAGTCACAACAGCTCCTCGGATACTCATATGTAATTGAGTGAAATTGAATGTAGATGAATGAGACACAGAGCAGAGATCTAGGCTTCAGCCGAGTTGATTTCCCAGTATCTGAGAATGGATTGAAATGGATTAAAATGGATTCAAATTTTCAGAAATACGGATTCATGAATGTTAAAATGAATCCTTTTCAATCCGAATACGTTTTTATTCATTTATAGGAATTGCATGGAGCATATCTGTATACTTTTCAATCATAAAATAGTATTAGCTTTTTCAGTGTGTTTGTGACCATAGTGAATACTGTACAATTCATAATTTTGAATAGGAAACTCAGTTTTTCAATCCAGTTGTATCCAATTGAATCCAAAAAAAAGTTTTCGCTGTTTAAAATACGAATTCGAATAGACAAGATCCAATCCATTTTAATCCATTCTCGGATGCTGGGAATTAGTATTGTCGTTTAATAAAAATAAAACAATGAGGAAACATAGGAGTGAGTTTCGAAAATTAACGCGAGGATAGTTCTTATCCCACTTCCAGAATAGTTTTCTACCTTTGCTTTTCCTTTCTGTCACTGACTGTTTCTGCTTTTGTCAGCTCCTTTTATATTTTAAAAATGGATGTGGGAGTGTCCTTTCAAGGACTAATCAGTACTCCTCAAAATTTTGTAGAACCTAATCACGTTTATAGGCGCACGTGGGATTGAACTCGGGTCTACAGATCGCAAATCAATCGCACCGAGCGGTGAGCCACTCAACGCCACACTATGATGTATTTTAAATTGGGTTGAAATATTTTATAACTTTATATATCATAACTCTTGGATAGATTTTAGTTTCATTAAGAATAAGAGAAAAAAGAAAGAAAAGGAAAAATAAAAGATATTCATCCTCGCATTTTCGGGAAGGTCTTAATTTTTACCATATATTACTACTTAATTATTAAGCATATATACTATTGTTTAACATTTTTCTAGGAAAAGGCCCTCGAAGGAAAAAAAGTTGTAAAATAGATATTATTTATCTATGTGACGCATAAGGGTATACGAGCGTGAGCTATCTGTTTGTTTGAATGTTTAAAAATTAAAATAGGTCCTCCTATAAAAGGGACGGTTACGATCTATATATGGTTTCAAAATAAAGATATTAAAATAGGGACAAAATATCAAACCTAAGGCGAAATACTAAACTATAGAGATAGGATAAAGAAAATGTATAAATTATATATTTATAATAAAGAGAAAGAGAGGTTTTTATCGGGATGTAACACGCTATTATACGTTTAAACGAAAACACGTTTACACGTATATATAATCATATATCCATTTATTAGAAAAACGTTTTTCCAAATATTTTTACTTTTTTTATATAAATGTTTATCCCTTTATTGGAGTGACTGATTGAAAAAATCGAAATTTTTTTTGGTATAAACGTATTAAAAAAACGTTCGAGTGTAATAAAAACGAAAAAAATATGTATATAAAATAACATTAAAACAGTGTATTTGGATACACAAATATTTATAATAATAATCTATAATAATATGTTAATTTTAATCCACATTTTATTCACGTTTTAGAATACTATATTTTTATGTTATTTGTTTATTTACTATAATGTATACTGAATTAACTGGGCAATTTAAATGAACGGGTTAAACTATAAGAAAATGCAAAAAAATTTTTAATTTTATGATAAAAGACATTAAAATATTCGAAAGTTTTTCATAGATGGATATGCTAAATATATACATGTAAACGTATTTTCGTTTAAAACGTATAATAAAACACGTATATCCAGAAAAACATTTTTAATAAACGGATCTCTATGTTTAATTATAATATAATATGTAATTAAACGTGTAAATATTTACCTACAAGTAAACGTTTTTCTGAAAGCGAATATAAACGGATAAACGTTTACACATATCATCTCAAAAAACGGAATAAAATTAGGTTCGATTTTCTTTTTATCGTTGGCTCGAGAGGTTATGAAATCGACATCTCGAATCGAATGATACTCGATAGGACGAGAGTTTACTATCGAAGGTCACTATTGAGGTTAGGTTACCATCAGTTGCAATCTGGTTATTCAATCACGTATGTGTCGTACATAACGTGCTTTACAATTTCGCGTTAAAGTCACTGGGAAGTTTCGCGCTGAGGCGTTTTTTGTGATCAGTGATCCCGACTGCAAATGACAGGCCATCTCAACGGAGTGCTGCTGTAAAGAAAACATGGCGACAGCGAAGACGGTACTGCCCGAGGAGAGTGAACTAACCGTTCCGGAGTTGAATGTCAGCTGGCCGGTGCTACAAACCGCGTCCGTTTACATCGGCAAGAACTGTGAATGGTATAACAATGTAAGTTGCAACTTTATTCGATAATCGGATGATCTCGCTGATACATTACTTGTCATGCATTGAACCATTCCTCTTCGAGGGATTACATAATGCTCCCTGTAATAATGTGACATGTATACATGTCTCTTTGTAAATAATAATATATCTTTAACTAATTAAACAATAATTCAATAAACATTCATCTGAGACAGCACGTAAATTAAAATACTTTATAGAATAAGTTAGGGCTGATTGTGTCACCTTCAAGTAAACTATGTGATAATTTAGCTAATTGGCAAAAAAAACAAAAGAGAGAAAAAAGGGAGGAAAGTAAGCTGACAAGAGCAAGTAAGCTGAAATTTATTAAAAGACAACAACCTGAAACAATCCAACTTTAATCTTTTAATTAAATCACAAATTATGTTTTATAAGTCATATTAATTGGTCTTAGTAACATCCATAGTTATTAACTATTGACGCAAAATGCTATAGAAATCATGAGAAGCTTATTACATCATGATATAAACGCTAGTTAAATCAAATTTTATAACATTAGTTATAAAACTAGATTTAATTAACTTTACAATTATATTTTATGTCAAGGTATAGTACAATATTAACTACTGATAATAAATGTAAATGTTAATTATAACTACAGATATTGCTAAACCCACATTTAATGGCAACATTTAAATACAGATAGTGTTGCATTTAGATTTTTTGCATGATGAATAAAACAAATGTGATGTATAAATATAAGAAATTTGTCTTATAAAAAACTTTGTAAATATAAGAATTATATTTTAATTTAGAGAGAGAACTCTTTTAAAGATATACGTACTAAACATGAATTACTCTCTAATTGCAAGATAGTTATTCCTAATACAAATAAGCAAAACATTTATTTCTTTTTCAGGAATTTATGTTATGCAGACAAGAAGAGCGCGACCCACGTCGTTGTATCAATGAAGGAAAAGCCGTGACGTCTTGTGCACTGGATGTTCTTAAAAAGATGAAGAAACATTGCTTAGACGATTTTAATGCTTACATGTACTGCCTTGAGAGATCATCAGGGACATTGGAATTTACTCCGTATGTTATTTTATTGTTTATTTGATATTGTTATTTTAATTCTTCATTTGATACTCATGGCAATAGAATAATGATGTGAATAATATAATATGAATATTACTTAGATGTCGAAAAACACAAGCTGCCTTGGACAATTGTGTTCGTCAGAATTTGAACATAGAACGTCCACCCTTTGGATATTTTTGCGAGGCTAAAGTGCATAACACATCAAGGCCACGGCCAGAAGAAAAGTCTACAACATTTCCAGATCCAGTTCCTGGACTTCCACCCGATGTACCACGTGAGAAAGCAAAATACTTCAATCGCTTTTGGTTTAAATCTTAAATTTCTCAACAGACACTGCTATAGTACTTTGGTCGTGCTGTAAAAATTATGTTTTCGAGATTCAAGATATATCAGATATCTAGACTATTATAGGGAAACAAGTGTAATTATAAATGTTCTGTGAATATAAACATATTAATAGTAAACTTAGTGATAATATGCTTGATCATTGTTGTTACAGCTTGTATAAATATAAAGCATATAAAATATCCTTTTTGTTTATTCACCTTAATTAGTGTTTAATGTCAGATTAAACCCATATAATTATCTATATATTAAAACATAATTATTGATATTAAAGCTCTGGAAAATATTTTAGCATCGTAAAAATAAATTAAAAATCAGTTTCAATTAAGAAATCATAGGATAAAGTTAGGGATACAGATCATGGACAATGAAATAAATAATACAGATACAGAGTTTGATTGGGTTCTTCGAAAAAATTATATACTTCATTTGTCATATGTCACATGACTTCATAACAAAATTTTTTTAAACAATATGAGCAAAAATATAACACATCGTTTTGGAAGATACGTAATAATTAAACAAAAATATTACTTTATCGGTATTACTACAGCATTTTATGTACATGAGATACAATCAGCTTTAGTATATATACACTAAAAAAGATGAAAGTAATCATTAAAAACGCAGATATACAAAATACATGATATATATACCGTAAATGAATGATAATTCATTTATGCATCAATCACGTATATATAAACTTATAAATGTGTATGACATTTTTCTTTATTAAAGGATCATGTTTAAAACCGATGAGGAATGTAACACCGGCTTCTACTTAATAGATATATGCTGCTGACATAAATATAAATTTCACTGTTGATTCATCGCAATTGTTAAAATTACCTAATCTGTTAAATATCAAAGAAGAAATGCACGCGATATTCTTGTGCAATCTACAAGTCTTTATAGAGCATAATTATTTGTTAGCTCCACGTTATATCGTAACCGCTCCAATTTGCACTTGGTGCTAAATGCACGCGCCTTCCATTATAAAAAAACGTCACCACACCACGGTATCCTGATCTTGGCACACCGCTCTGTAACACAAAGATAGTTTTGAGATAGCAGTTTAAAATTAATTACTTTTGAATCTTAATGAAAAGAATATATTACCCTGAAATCATCCATTAAACCAAGCAATTTGGTAATATTTTTAAATGATTGACGAGTGTAATATGGTATTCGTACTGGACCAGGGGCAACAATATTCCCACTTTTCAATTCTGAATAGCTAACCACTGTCGATTGATACACTTGGTTGACGAAAGCTATATCGTAATTATCCTAGAAGTAAACATAATTATATAAATATATTTTGAATTCAGTAGATATATTTATGTGTCAATGATTGTATTTGATGTTTGTTCTCTTACTTTTAATAAATAGGATAGATTCATCTTGGTGAAAGGCACAAATTGTTCATTCAGTTTGATGTATTTCAGATGTTTTTCAAAGAATAAGCCGCTAGAAATAATAAGACAAATTTTGGTGTCGATTTAAAATTTACTCAAGTTATTTTATTTTTAATTATTTTTATGAGTCTCAAATTATAATATTTATCTGCAGTATTTTTAATATAAAAATATATATATATAAATAAAAAAATATGGACAAAAAGAAGTACTTGCTGACTCCAAGTTTGCCGAATGTTCTGGTTCGTGAGATTTCCGGGCGGATGCAAGCTCTATTCTTACGCTGTTCCGGCTGCCTTATCCAGTCGTCCCAGTATCTACGCAGCAAATATGTCATTATTAGAATCGTAAATATAATAGATAAATAATAAATTAAGCTATACATTTTAATAAAATTATGCTTACGATTTGGGCCACTTAGGTGCAAGCTCCAACCATAAATCACGCGTGAGCATCCAACCTAAGCCAGGAAAGAAATCTGTCCTATAAAGTAAATGTGGTGCATGTTCGTCCACCAAGCCGGCTTTACCATTATCATTCCACGCTGATACACACCATAGAGAGCTATCATTCACTAGTAGAGGATAAGTTCCCAGGAAGTATTCATAAAAGTCTGGAGCGACATCCAAGTCGTCTATGTAAAAATCAGAAATTGTCTTAATTAAACATCTTCAATCCTATAGAAATGTGTCGCACTTGTAATGCAATAGATAAGCTCATAAAGATTTGATTACATTATTGTACCTTCAACTATAATTGCAGTACTATACCCAAGCTTCAGAAATACTTGATTTAACGCCCATTTATAATGACGCGCGATTTTGAAGTATCCTTTGAATTTCTTTTCTTTAGGTGGTATTTCAATATCGGACTGATCAGGTTGCTGGAAAGTAAGTATGTGTGTGAAGATTGTAATATATTCATTATAAGAATACAAATGAAAGTATATCTCATTAAAATTGAAAGAAATTAAGAATAGGCTGTCTTAAATAATAGACAAATAACGATACAAATAAATTATTTTCAATATCTATAACACCTTTATATGAAGTAGCTGGTTTCCAAATTTTGCTATGACATCAGCAGTTTGTCGATGATCACAGTCTTGCGATACAACTATTGGAAACTGTTCTTTACTAGGTCTTAACTTAATTAATTGATTTAGACATCGCTCTACTGTAATACGATTACATGAAACGACCAAAATAGCTATTATAGGAGATCCATCGGGAAGCCTTTGTCTCGAAAGAGTATTATGTGTTGCCTCAGTCTATCGAGAAATTGCAAAATTAAAAATATGGAACAATTGAGATTAAATAGACAATTTAGATTACATATTACATGAACAAATACTTGAAACTGACAAAAACGATTAAGTTGTTATATAAATTAATACATTACAGATAAAACAACTTCCTGTGTCGGGCTTTGTTCATCTTTAGATATTTTCCATTTATTTTTGTTTGCGAGTTTTTGTAATAGTATACTTTTTTCCTTATTGGCTTCATGTTTTTTGTTTTTATCTTTTTCCGTGTCACCTATCGACAACTGGGCATTTAATCTATCATATTCTTCTAAAATAACAAATCATTATATTTGATTTATCTGTTCTTTTAAATGTATATATAAACTTTTAAATTCATTTTACTTTTAAGACGTTTGCTCTCGTTGATTCCTTCTAGGAGTTCCTGGTTTATAATTATCTGCTGTTTTACTTGTTTCTCCAATCTGCTGATTTGATTTGATAGCTTATCCTTTTCCTAAGGACAATATAATTTTACTTCTTGATATATCAGATATATCACAAGCTCACCTTATCCTGATCCTTGCCAACTGATTGTTGATCCAAAAATAAAAAGTATGTAGCCACAGCCCATAAGATAAGGGACCCAAAGATAATACTGATTGATCTATTCCGCATGACAAAACCAAGTGTCACCTTAACTATAACAAGAATACACTGTAAACAGAAAGATACACGAGGCATATATTCGCAAAGAACAAAATGAACAGATACTAACAGGATTTCCACACGTCGTAGTGTATGTCAATACATATTTATTACACATGGATTCCTAAATGTGTTGTCCAAGTCTCGTTCCTTCTGCAAAATTGCAACAACCGTTAAAACATATTAGGTAAACACATGTTCTTTCTAGCTAAATTTCTTGCCATTGTTTCCTTTTTTTTTTATTCCAAGAAGAAATATGCAAGAAATTCAGTTGAAAAGAACAGATCTACTAGTATTCTCAGTACACTATTGTAATATAGAGACATTACTCACAAACGTTGCAATCATATCCCCGATACGGAGACCTTTGTAATCACAAGTCATATGGAAGGGTCATATTTCGTATCACTAGTATAAGTCATGGTAAGTAGCATTATTTACATCACACGTTGATCAACGTGAATACGATATAAATAACAGACCGAACTACGTTATTATGGGCAGGAGAGAGTAATTTTAGCGGTGATCGACAACGATGACGATGGTGTGCAAATCAAGCTGAAAACAGGATGTTCTTAGACGTGGACATCGACGATGACGATAAATTCGCGTCGAATCTGCAGACGTCGGTAAGATTGGGTAAGATTCTACGAAGGCATCAGATTACTTACCATTGTGACATGAGGAACGACACGGGTTCTTTCACGTGGACTAAGCTCGAGATCCTGGTGTCCGTCGATCGAGTTACGCGAGAACGTCGCGGTTCATCCTTACGTGACGATCCGGAAGGCAAGTCGGGGAAGAAGCAGCTGGAAGATATTGATGATGTTCGCACTAAGCGGTCTGAGATGATTACTGGAACAGCTCACGAGTTCACGCCACACTGCTCACCCTCTCTCACAGCCTACAGCTGTCAGCGTACGCACGTCGTGGAAATCTTTACCTTACGAGCGAGACCGCGGTAGGTCTACTGTAACGGCGGTGCTCGGTAATTCCGAATCGCATCAGCGCGATAATCGTGATGATCGCGTGAGATAGCTGGAGATAACATTGTTCCTTATCATTCTCTATCTATCTACATCCACCCCACACCGTCCGATTTAACCAAATTTCGCTGATGTAATAATCTCTGTCCATGTATATTTATGAGGTCTGTTCTTTACTATTCTTTACACTTTGTTAGCACTGAACTAGTGGACACTTTCGGAACTTAAAGTGAAATAGGTATATATGTTTCATACTTGGCTAAAGTGAGAAAAAAATGTTGTAGCGTAATCTAGTGTAGGAATAAAAAACAATTGTTATTATGTATGTACACACGCGGTTACTTATTCTTATTTTTGAATCACAAGAAAAGCTGAGTATATATATACATTTTTTAAGAAAATAAGGATTATGATCTGGAAACGCGGAAGAGGAACAAAGGAGCTAGGAGGTATACAAAAATAATACCTCCTCTCTCTCTCTATCATTTTATTAAATAAATATAAAAAACCATTAGGAGGAAGTATAAAAGAATAATATCCCTTCTTATATATATATATATATATAATTTTTTAAATATTTATTTAATAAAATATCATTAATATATAAATGTTATTTAATAAAATAAAATTTCCAAAACACGTAATTTCTATTAACAATAATAAATAATTATATTGTCTCAAAGAATTAACAATTAATTGCGACAAAAGGAGTACATATACGCATACATGTGTACATATATATAAAAGAATAATATATATAGCATGGTAATCTGATTATTAACTTTATTATAATAACCCGACGATACTTGAACGATATCAATTATCAATTCAGCGAATATGAATCAAGAGTCTATATCAATAGAGATTATAATAAGTTGAGAGAGGAGATAAGATACTACCTATGACTGATACTAAAATTAATTACATTAACTCATTTCATGATCGAGGAATGTCCTGAAATGTCAAGGAGAATCCCGAAAGTGTCAAATATATCTCTGATCCAATCTCTCCACTGTTCCCGATATAACTTATCGACGATTTCTCAGCCCCAGGAGACGAACGTAATCCATTCGAGTCGTCTCCAGAGCTCACCATTGAGGGCGCTCCGTTGCGCGCATATTGTTTTTATATATTTCTGGCGGTCGTCGTCGACGGCACGTCGGGCACGTCGCGCTTTTGCAGTGTGTCGCGTCGTAGTGCGTGTCGGTTCGGCGAAGAAAGTGGAGCGTCCTGCGTTGGATGTAGATCCGTTCGGCCAGCCGTTGACGTAAAATAACGTCGAACGGACTCGCCGTCGTGAAACAAATTCCTGGAGCAAGGCAGGGATAACACGGGGGAGGAAAGGGGAAGCGGCGCATCCCTCGCGAGAAGTTGCGAGAGTGAGCAGAAAGGAAGAGAGAGAGAGGATGCGTGACGTGACGAGCCTCACGTTCGCTGCGTGATCGACTGCGTGACATGAGAGGCGTATACACCAACAATAATATTGTACAGCCGGCGACGAGGGCGAGTGCGAGGGAGTGAATAATGTACTGCACACTCGGAAGATGGTAACGGAGAGCTAAAAGCAGTTAAAAAGTTGAAGTTTACTTATTGAAGTCTGGCGTTTACTTCTCCGCGGTAAACGACAGCAGCCCACCCAGGAACTGACAGCTCTTTCTGACAGCTTTTGCAGGAGGGACGCGATGAGGGCCCTGAGCACCGGCGAGGTATCCACCGCATTGAGGCCGTTTTACTTTACCGTTCATCCTGATCTGTTCGGCCAGTATCCTACACAGAGGGTAAGGATCAAAATCTGAATATGTGGATGAGTTATTCGGAATGAATGTTGTATGATAGGAGATAAATCACGGTTTCATCAAGTAACTTTGTGGACTCTATGTGCATTTACTTTGTCAGAAATATCTGTTTAATTGCATCTTCCATATTTCTTTCTGTCTATAGGTTCTGTGAATGTGCATTCATATTCTCTCAACTCTTCTGTCATACAATAGTTATCATAGGATGCAATAGTTATCAAATTTTAAACAGCGTAAATTTTTATATATTTTTATACATATTTTAACATTTTTATTATTTTTTTGTACAAATTTCATTACATAACGTTTCCAAAAAGTTTGCTTTTCAGATAACAAAGAAAAGTTTTGCATACTTTGGTTTCATTGTAAGGAAAACCTTGTGAAACACAGTAGTGAAAATGTGAAAAATTATATTTTCTGACAGAAGAGTTAAAATTATAGGTCTGTTCTTTATTGCTGAACAGTTCATCATTTTTCCTTTTCCCTTCTCCTGGAGAGAAAAGAAAGAAAGATGAACTAGTGCAAAAGTTCAGCAATAAAAAACAGACCTTATATATGTATATCTCCAAGTCTCACTGTCCAAGTCCATATAGTCCAAGTCTCACTGTAAATGCCTTGAAGCGTTTAACTGATCAATCAGAACAATAAATTTTATGAATTGATCAATCAAAGAATGCTTCAAAGCATTTGTAGTTATGTTTGCCATACCCGTATAAAATGAAATACATCATTGAACAATCGAGCTACCATACAATTTCATAAGAATTTAGAAAGCTCTTGAGCTGTATTTACCTCAGAGAGAGGAAAGAAATAACAGCCACAAGAAATGTAAAAAGAAAAATCTAGAGTATGTTTGTGTGCCGCGTGTTTGTTATATTTTTATTTATTTTGTTTTCTTTCCGCCACGAGTCACGCCGACCACTCGTTTCTTATCAAGGACATGCAAGATGCACGCGTGTCGTCAAAGTGCCACACAAAGCAATCGGTAGCGTAGTCATCGTGACGTGATACCGAGTACAAGCTAATGCGGTGAACGGCATTATTTTTAGACGTGCGAAAACTTGCCTCGTTATTCATAAAGAATAATATAACGATCTTTGGACGCATGTACGTGCGTGTTCAAGTTTTTTATAATCAGAATAAATTTTCTGCCATCACAAGTATGCGTTGTTTGAAAGCCATCAAAATTCTTGCACTTCAGAGACGACAAATCGTCCAATGTAGTTTAATTTTAATTAATCTCGGTTCAACTAATTTTTCGTCTTTTTCTAATTTTAATTGTAGAAAGTCCAATGGAACTCTACAATAAGCCATCACCTAAGCTAAAGTCTTAAGTCATAAAAAATTGAACAATATAAGAATCTTATTAGACCGTACACGTGAGAAGCCATAAGAAATCATATAGTAAAATGTGAGAAGAATAATAATCGACTATAATTGGTCAATTTCTTATGACTTATTGTAAATACTTACGGTCAAAGATACATTTTATATATTGGAATAATACATCTATATGTATTTAAATAAATTTATTTTAAATAAATATATATGTATATTTATATGCATATGACTACGCGCTGATTACTTCTTAGACTTACAACACAATCAAACTGAAGTAATAATAATATTATTATTATTATATATATTATATATAATATATGTTAGATTAATTTAAAAAGATTTTAACGAAATTATTGGCTCATTGCCCTTATCTTTTTATATTAGTTATTGAATAATAATAATATTCTCCCCAAAAGAAATAAATATACATCCTATATATTCAGGCGTTGAGGTGAGAGAAAGTAAAAATGTTGAAAAACTATAGGCAATGCGAAAAGACCTTCAGTTAGATGTTTGCGTCGTTTATCAGTGAGATTATTGTTTGTGCACGAGCAGAGCAGGGCCGCATTAAAGATGATCTGTGTATAGTCGCAGAAACGTTTAGCATTCAGCATTTCAGAGCCGCTCGTCCAAGAAAGGACACAGAACAATCACGGAGAATTGCAATTAATAGGAACGGAGCGGAATGTTTTTTTTCGAGGAACCTGTTTTCTGATTTGATATGCGTATTATCGCGATATTTGCTTACGTGAAAACAGATTGAATTGAGAACAAAATTAACATATTGTTTATATAATTAGAAAGAATTTAAAGAAATATATCTGCAATATGTATACTTGATATTTATAAAATACAGGCTATTTTTACAACTTCAGTTTTTCTAAATCAATGAAATTGAATTCATATTTCGTTTTGTTTCAATAATATCAAAAATTGAACAATTAATCGATAAACGCGGCCCTGTGCATATGTGTTTGATTAATATATGTTGATTATAACCGCATGATAAAAAAAGCGTTGTGTATTATTTTTTTATTAACCCATAAAAGAACACATATTTTTTTTACGACGCTGAAGAAACATACTTTAAAACCTACTAAAGTTTTTTGTTATTAATTATATTTTTTTAAAGAATTTTTCTAGTTGTTTAAAAAACAATTATGCAATAAATTATCAAGCTTGCCAGAATATATATTAATTCAAATTAATAAATTTTAATTATAAACTTCGCAAATTACAGCTTGAATAGCTTTGAAATTTGTTAATTTGTTTAATTATATATTTTTAATCTATTGTATAAGACTGTTTGAATAATACAAATTAAATATTATTAATAAACAACCAAGTGAAAATAGAATACATAACTATTAAAGGTCTTAAGTCACCGAGGCTTTCTGTACCAAATTATTAACACCAAAGATCTAGCTTCGACCATTATGGGCTCTATTTTTTATTGATTGTGTATGAACAATCCAAAATAAGATTCTTATTGATTATTAATATTTATTGCTTCTAATTTCTTATTAAATAAACACGCGTTGAAAATTTTTTTCAGAAATTAATTATTTAAAATTATTTCTGGAGTCACAGTGGGTATCATTTACGGATTAAATATTAAATAAATATGAATTAGAGTTTGAAGAGTTATATAAAAGAGAATTGCGGGAATTTTTTTAAACTAGAGTTATATTTTTTTTTTAATTAGTTTTTTATCAGGAGACGACGCGATAGTCTCGTACTAAGCAGCAACACTGTCGCGAGTTGCGGTTTTCTTTACACGAAGTATTTTTGAAATATTTATTTAAATTTTATCAAAATATTTTACTGAGAAACAATATTTGAATGTATGGCATGTTATATTCATAAATACTTTCTTCTCAATTTGTAATCTTTTAACTATCAAGTACAAGCACGGATTTTAATAGATACACTGTTTATGATAATACGATAAATTGTTTTTCTTATCAGATAATTGATTAAGTTTGTTGATAGAAATTGTTTATCAGAGGAAATAAAGAGATTTGATCAAAATCCACTCCTAATAAAGCTAGAATCTGAACATATGCATGATTTAACAAATTACATTAAGAATTAACATTGTACTTACTATATGTTATTTTTCAGTACTTGTTATCAATTTTCTTTATCATATTCAAGTAACATCGAAAAATATCATAGATACTTGAAATATCATATTTTCTCTATATGATTCATGGAAGTCAATTTGACTAAACATTTTATGTATACCTTGCATAAACATATTATCTTTATTATGTTATTTAGTTATCTTTGTCTTTATTCAAGAAACACAGTAGTGTCAATTATATTTTTTATAAAATATATTTTTTCATGAGCAAAGTGCTATATATAATTATCTTTAACTATAATGTAAACCATTTATTAGATATTATGTACGTTATGTTGAACATTATATGTCTATGTTATTATCTATGTTGTAATTTACAGACAGTAAATGAAAATTCTCTGAAGCAATTAAGTTCAATCTTAGAAACTTTGCAACAAAAACAACCTATACGGCCAACCACTTTACCCTTTTATTTGCGATCAAAAGATGAGAAAGACGTGAAGGCTGGTAAATTCACGCTTGTCAAAATACAGTTGAAAGAAAAGGATCTGAGACAAGCGATACTTTCCATTTTAAAAACATGCGATCTACCCACGACGTTTGTCGACAAAATAGAAGAGCAGAAGCCTCCTGTCACAAAGCACAAATCCAGATTTTGGCAACGCGCATATTCTGGAGAAAGGATAGACCTTTCGGAATTGGAGGACGATCCTATTTATGCGTCGATTATTATGAAACGCAAGATTAATGCAGAGCCGGATACATTGAAGTAAATATAATGTTGAGATATATATATATATATATGTATATATACATACATACATATAGTATACTCGTATACATATCTGATAATTTTATCTATACAGAGGTAAAATACACTAAAATATTGCTTATATTTGTATTTGTGTGTTTTTGATTAGAGCATATCTGGACAAGCACATCAACGAAGTACACGTTAAACTGGAAGCATGCAGACCAGTGAGAGACGAGGTGGAGAAATTGGAAAAAGTACTGTGCAGTGTGTTGGGTCTAAAGGATATCATATGGGACTGTGGTTGGAATATCACTCATTATCGCGGTTGCTTATTAGCCTTTCAAGCGTTAGCCGAGCATCATCCGGAATCGATGGAAGTATTGAGAAATCGCACTCTCGTATTTGCAAATGATACTGGTATCAGTTTAGAAGGCAATGTTATGTTGAATTCTGGAGAAGTCAGGCATAATTGGTTCGACGTAAGTTGAAAATAGGCTGATTACCTAATCTATATTTCTATATGTATTAAACTCCTTTGTTTATAGCTAATAAAGAATGTAAAAAAGCATGATGCTGTATTGTTGAAATTGCCAGCGTTTGAGAAAGCAGTCTCCCAAGTACTCCTTGACATTAAAGTTGGTCGACGGTGCGTAATACATCATATTATTTGAGTTATGGTAAGGCTCAGGGTGCTCTATATGTGCAGGAAATTCATGCCTAAGGTAATGGTCGGCCAGTATGAACAACAGCTGCGTCAACTCATAACCACGATCTCAGATTATCGTAGCAAACGAAAATATCCGAGTTCGTGGCCGGCCAGTCTATCAGCTTACGAAATTGTCATCGAAGCGTTAGTATTGCTATTTAAATATCGTTGCTTATGATTGATTTTATGTAAGTGGCTCAACACAATTTATGATCTTGTAGCGAAGCAGGTCCTTTGATGTTATCGCCGACTGGACAATTCATTGTGCCGTCGTCTTGTCCAAGCTTTCTTTTAGTGAATTTTATCACGGAAAACTTAGAGGAAGCTACGAAAAGACTATATCACTATAACAAGTAAGACATCTCAGATTTTTAATTGAACTGAATTTAATTAATTGAAGTTAATACAGATATTATACTACTTATACGCACTTGCAGCATAAAGCACGTGGAACGAGAACTTCATCGTAAAACTATTAAAGAATTAGGTTTAGCTGCTCTTAACAAGGACGACAGCATTACACCGGATCTTATGATACAATGTTGCGAACGACTGCTTCTACACAAAAAGGATCTAGCGCCATCGCTCGAGGGCGTCATGCTCTGGGTTACTCATTATTATTCTGTTATGAGCGACGGCGTTCTTTGTGTGCCATGGGATTGGAGATTTTAACTTTCGATAAAATACAAAATATATTAACGATTGTTGTTAAGTCACTAGCATAAGCATAACGACAATGCAAATAAGTTTTACAAGTCCCGAGATTTGCAAGATAGTAATTATAGTAGCAGTTTAAAACAGGAAATTGTCTGAAAGCATAAGATAAAGTTATTAAGTCAATTGTGTCGATTGGCATATTGATTTCTTTTTTACAAAGAAGAAAAGCGAAACTAGTATCAGCATAGTCGGTTTTAATGAGAAGAAGCATTTAGATTACATTGTAAGAATCATATTTTAAAATAGTACCTCTGTGCCGCACAATTCGAATGTTATTAACTCAACGATAATGAATTGTAATATCGTTTCTACCTTTGTGAGAGCGGCTAAAGATAAATTTCCTTGAAAATAGTTCGTAATCCCAAACAAATTTTTGTAAAAAAAAAATATGATAAATATAAGGTTGTCACAAAACTGGAAATCGAGAAAATATCGGAAAAATTGAAAATGTGCAGAAAATCAGAGAAAAGTCAGAATTAAAAAAAAAATTGACATTCTTAATTTTAAGGAAGTTTGATGTGCGTCCAACACACGCAGTTTTAAAACACTACCAACTTAATGATTAAATGCAAGCAATGTCAGCAACTTTAATAGTATTAACATTGCTATGTTAAATTACTTCCTCAATAGAATAATTTTAACAATTTCCAAATCCAGAACAAAAATACAACACTTTCAAAATATTAAAAATCATATACCATATTATTAAAATGGTTAAAATATTAAAAGGGAAAATCATGAACTTTTGTTTGGAAAAAATTATTTTAGACGAAGAAATTTGTGGCAACTCTCTAAACAGTCAGACAGATAAATTTAAACTGGAATTGTTGTATATTTAAAAAAATGATTACTAGTCTTGCATAAGTTTTAGTTTAGCTTAAGGGACTCGACGCTGTGCGCTGTAGACAATTGTAAACAAGATATATGTATATTTTTTTAATTTGATGTATCAACTTAATTGTAAATGTGTGGTCTGTCGATTATAACCAATCGAGGACAAAAATATTTCGCAATAATTGATATTTATATATCTCTGAAGATGTGGCGTATTTGATCTCCTTTATCCTAAGACCATCGGAGAATCAAACATTGTCTTTATTCTGAAATTTCCTTTCTTACTATAGTATATATTTCTACCAATATAGATTAATTTTATTTAACCTATATTCTTCATTTTTTTCTAGTTCAAAGACTTAGAAAAAGATAATTGTTTTGCATAGGTCTTATTTTAGCTTATATATGTATATATATATATATGAGGATGACTTGATGTTAAACGCTGTAGACAATTGTAAACAATTATAGACATGTTTTTATATATTTATAGACGTATATTTTTTTTTAATTTTTGATTGTAAATATGCAGTTTGTCAATTATAATCAATCGAAGAGTATAAATAATATGAATTCGATTAGATACATTCTACATGCATTGATATTAAAGCTGTCTTATATAAATTAGATCTGTTCACGTTGCTTGTACTTTTTATACTCAGTATCTTCATTTTCTTTTCAACGTCTGAATATATATTTATTTCGCAAAATTTTTTGAGAATTTTTAAACACGAACAAATTTGTTAATATAAAAATATATGTTTAACATAAATATAGAAACAAGTTAAATCGTGAAGTTCTTCATACGTTTTATTGTATTGTTGGATAAAATATACATATTTTTTATAATTCGATTATTTACAGTTCACGTTTACATTCAGCTGATTAAAAATCAGTGCACATACAACGGTTTTAATATGCACTATTGCGCACTATAACAATAAGTTAAACCAAATTTATTACAAGTTGAATAGAGATTTTAAAATTAATCTATATTGATAGAAACGGATGATAAAGAGTATTTGAATAAAAAATTATTCTTATGTAACCAATACAAAAATAATGAAAAAGATAAACTTTTTAAATAACATATAATTTAAGTGAAAATTTCTATTAAAAAATCTTCGACTAAACTTGGATTAAATTCGACAGAGTCGCAGCAAAATTGTACAATTCGAAGAGCAGAAAAGAACTCGGAAGCGTTTACGTTCATTTGTTTAATTCGCGCCATATCCTGTCTAGTGATTCGAAAAAGAGCAATTTGTCGCAGGGACTTTAGAGCGGGAAACGTCCCGCTATCGTCGGCTGTTCCCGGGTTCCCGCGCAAACGAGCGATCGGCGCCAAAATATCCGACGTGCATGCGCGCTATCGTCGTGGTTGCGCGGGCCGCGGCTTCATTCGGCTTTCAGCGTTCGGTGTTGGCGTATCGGCACGATTCCGTAAGCGCATCTTCCTATCTATCTCGTACTTCCTCCCCGTTCCTCCCTCGTGCAAGGAAAAAGCAAACGATTTAACGGCAAGACATGTCTGGACGCGGCAAAGGTGGTGAGTAAGGACGAAAAGAAAAGAGAGGAAAAAATAGACGGTCGGGAAGTGGAAATCCCGCGGCGCCGGGCGACGATGACGACACTCCTCGCGCGTGTCTTTTTCCAGGTAAGACCAAGGGGAAGGCGAAGACCCGCAGCAGCAGGGCCGGGCTGCAGTTCCCTGTGGGAAGAATTCATCGTCTTCTCAGGAAAGGCAACTACGCGGAGCGCGTTGGTGCCGGTGCGCCTGTCTATCTCGCCGCCGTGATGGAATATCTGGCGGCCGAAGTGCTCGAGTTAGCTGGAAATGCTGCCAGGGACAACAAAAAGACTAGGCAAGCCCTTCCTCAATTTTCTCTCTCTCTCTCTCTCTCTCTCACGCGCGCGCGCGTTTTCTCTCGCTCCATCTCTTTCATCACGACTTCCTGTTTCTATCTCGTGTCTGCGTCTCGTTTTCGGTTTCCTTCGCACCCTCTGCTGTCTGCTCTAGGCGTAGTATAGAGGGAATATAGATCTTTACCATTAACCGCTTGGTTAATCAACTTGGTTGTCAGGAAATTAATTCTCAATCACACTTTTGGAATTTTCTCGCGTTAAAATATATAGTAATAATTCAAGAATAATAATAAAAATATATAGTGCTGTTTAAGCGTGATATATCTCTTCTTCTGATATAGAGAAATTTGTTTACTATTCCAGATTTGCTTTTTGCAAACTGTAATTGTCATATGTTGGCATGGTTTTTGTTTTAACCTTATTCAACATGGACTGTTTAGTTTAACTGAATACATAACATAAAAACCTAATCTACAATGTGCTTTTTTTATTTTCTATTTCTTGTTTTTAATTATTTTTTGTCTTTTTTTGCCTGTTTTCTGTCGCCTGAAATAAAAATTAATAAATTTGGGAAGAGAGAGAGAGAGAGAGACGAGAAACACATAACAAGAATAGAGTTGCCATCCGTCCTTTATGTTTTCTATAAACATTATTCTTTTTTTTTTAATGTCCAGATAATTATGAGTTTTAGGGAATCTTCTAAATCTTTTACTTTGACTCCTACCTTGCGTTAAAAGTGTAGTAATTCTTAAGCTATAAGAAACTGACCAATCATAGTTGAATGTAAAGGGAATAATTGGTAATATATTGATCTTACATTAAATTAGTATTGCTAATAAACAATTAGATGTGAAATAATTATTTGTTTAATGTTCTGATCAACTTTACTAATCTACAAGCATTTTTATACGCACCTGGAGTTTTATGCGAAATATTTAAGCTTTTTAGTCTTGTAAATTTTAGTTTTGAAAATTTTGATATGGCAACTGTAAAAAAATTGTTTTTGTGTTTATATGGAAATTATAAAATTAAATGACTACTATTTTGTTTGTAGACTAAATAGTTTGTTTTTTGTTATCATAAATACATAAAATAAATTCTAGATTATTCTAATATGAGGTTGTCACAAAGCTAGAAATCGAGTAAGTCTGAGAAACATCAGGGAAATTGAAAATGGTCGAAGAAATAAATAAAAAGTTCAGGAAATTGCAGAATTTTTTGGAAAATTAAAATTCTTACCAAGTAATAAAGTTTAATATTGTATATTATATCTATATAGTTTGAAATATTACCAACTTAATAATTAAATGTAAGCAATGTCAGCGACATTAATAGTAATTTACATAACTGTGTTAAATTACTGTTTCCAAATATTATTGTAAGTCGGGGGAAATCACGAAATTTTATCTGGAAAAGCTGTCGAATTTTAAGACGAGAAAATTGTGACAACCGTTTGCAATGTTTACTGTAATTTTTTTAACGTGCATTTTGTTCAAATTGTATAAATGTCTATCTTCTACAGGATAATCCCGCGTCACTTGCAATTGGCCATTCGTAACGACGAAGAGTTGAACAAATTATTGTCCGGAGTGACCATTGCTCAAGGTGGAGTCTTGCCTAATATCCAAGCGGTTCTGCTGCCGAAGAAGACCGGTACCGGCGGCTCTGGAAAGGGCGACAAGGCGTCGCAGGAATATTAGATTATTACGCGTTTATAACTTTAACCGTAACTCTAGAGACATGCCTTTATTTCGCAAAATCGGAGGAAAAGGACCGAATGTCCTTACAAGTCTGTGCAACAGGGCTGGTTTACATGATTCTGATGATAAAATTGGAGATTGATAACAAACATCAGCTGCGTTCAGCAGAGAAAGACTTTGCCACTGTTGTAAAATGCTTTAATATGACTAGTCGTGTCTTTTGTTTCTTGGAACTAAATATATAAACCAATCGTATATCAAAGAATTTTACAGTTGGAAAGTGCCTTTCTCTGCTGAATACACAATCGTTACATTATCATATTGATTTCTTTGTTATTTCATCAGTTTTCACGTCCGCCCGAGCGCTAATTCAAATCTGTAAACGTTCTTTTTTTTTTTTCTATTGATAAATTTCTTTTAATTGATAACTGTGTTTTTATAAAGTTAGATACTACTATTTATATATTCTCTGCTAAATCCTGTCCTGAATACCGTTGAAAATATTGTATTTAATTAACAATTGCTATCTTAATGAGAGATTTGATAATTATGCCTTGATTAAAAATTAGTAATTCGAAATTTTTGTTTAAACTTGTGAAGACCACGTAACTATTAATGAATTACTTATGCATGTTTTATTTATGATACAATTTATTTAAACGCTACTGTTACAGTTATACATATTTCTTGCACGCAAATACAAACATACACATTTCTCTTTTATTCCCTTTATTTTAATTTTAGTCTTCAGCCTCATTAATTTTATTCTAATTCTCCTGTATATCTTATTAACAGTAAAGATTTGAAAAGATTGTATTAATGCTTGAATGTTTTTGTTGAATGTAAACGATATTGATGCAAAAATAAATAGCATTGCGTCCCTATGTGAAGTTCAATTCGCAGATGCGTGTAATCCTCATTTAAGTATATGAAAATAAAACTTCGTTATAGAAAGACCTCGAACTTTTAACATTACATATTCCATTGTTAGATACCTTTTGTTAAATTTATAATAGTCGTAAGTAAGAGAGGTTCGAATCTCATAATTTTATCTACCGTCATTAGCGGAAGATTATTAATACTACATTTCGTATTTGTATTTTTTTTTTTTGCGAAATGTTATTAAACAATCTGTAATTCAAAATTGACGCTGATGAGCCTGTCTCGCAAGCGATTCGAGCTTGCATTGAAATTTGGAATCACTTGGAGTGTTGGAGTGGCGACCCAAAACAGGATATCCTACATTTGATTTACGAATGCCCATACTCCAGGAACGCGGCACGCTTTATACGACGCACATCTTTACATCTTCGCGCCTTCTCGCGTCCTGCGCAGGCGCTTTTTCCTGCTAACTGCCCTCCCTCTCCCATCCTAGCGCAGCTTTGCTCCGATTACTCCAGGGCACACCGTCGCGATATACGAGCTCGGAGCCATATACTCCGGCATACAAGAAGGTTCTTTAGACATAGTCACGTTGAATGTAAGTACATTAAAATAATTTTAACGAGAGGTTCGATGTTTATAGATACGCTTATAGATAGATGTCACGTTTTCGTCCAGAGACGTCATTAATCCGTTTTTTCGAATGTTGTATCGTTGGAAATATGTACGCGAACATTTTGCAAAAATTCAAATCAACGATAAGCAGTACAGAGATATTCGTGCTTTGTCGTGTAAAGCACCAACTTAGATTGAGTGTATATATATATATAGAACTTGGTCGGTTCAGCTGTTATTGAGATCTGATAATTTGATAATTTAATTGAGATTGATAATCTCAATCCGCCGCAACTCGCCGGCTCGCGTAAAGTAGCCACGGGGCAGTGTCACGCCTCACGCGTCGAGACACTACCGTGTCTCCAGATATTTATCAAAAAAATATTTATTAGTTTTATCGATTTATTGTTAATATATTTAGTAACTTATTTTGTGCTCTTTCAATAAAAACTTTAGTTATCAAAGCAAAATACGTTAGTTTTGTTTTGTATATAATATAAAATATTTTTGTTGACCTTGTGTTGTGCTAACAAACGAATTTTATTATATGGCAACAAAATTTGAATTATATTTCTTTCGGGCATGCGCGAAACAATCAAGCCGCGCAGCGCACCGACGCTCGATCGTGTCCACGATTTCGAATACTTATATTGATACTAAAAAATTCACTTGCAATCTTTCTCATATTCATATATTCGCCATCCAAACAAATTTTCAGTGAATTAATATCAATATCGAGAAAGACATCAAATTGACGTCGATTCGATATAAATTTTTGAAGAATTTTTATAAAATAAATAAGGAAATATTTATATTAATATGAATTGACGTCGATTCGATATAAATTCGATATAACTAATTTCTATGAATACATTTTATTTATTTATAGAAATAATCGTTTCTATCACAGTCTAACGGTGACCTGAAGAGATCTAAAATCGTACTGACTAAAATCGTAATTGACTATTACTATTTCTGGTTGTACCCCTATAACTGCAATAAGAATAATTTCTATAGAATAATACTTTAAAAACTTAATTTTTACATGTGTGTATGCACATACTTTGGTTTAGCACTGTTTTTAACTATGCTCTACCTCTTCGATCCTTATGATACTGTGGCAACTTTTTTTACAGTATTTGTCGGATTTTTTGTGAAAAAATGGCAATACCACTCGAATGATAACCCACAAAAAAAATTCAAAAAAAATTTTGAAATTTTTTTTAACCCCTATTTTTTGAAAAAAAAATTTCATAATTTTTTTCTGAAAGTGTCTTTTCTGAAGCCATAACATATATTTTTTTCAATAAAATTGATCGTGCCGTTTTCGTGAAAATGAATTTTTTCTATTTTTCGTTTTGCCCCCATAACTCCCAAAAAAATAATTTTTATGGGATAATACTTTGGAAATTTCATTTACATATAAATACCTAAATTCTCTGAAAATTGCAACAAAATTGGTGCCAAGGCCGCATGCATATGCTTATCCTGCTATGCCCTTTAACATTGTCATACTTTTTTTTAATATAAAAAAATAGACACTTTTTCATTTTGAAAATATAATAAAATATATATTGTGTAATATGTGTATATTATTACTCGAGAATATAATTCGACGAGTATTTCTATATATATATATATGACATTTGTGAGACGAGTTATGCTAAATTCCGGATATCAGATCGAGATCGAAAAACCGAATGTTATCGCGCGATTACTGAACCACTGAAATCACAGTGAGTGTTTCGGACTCGTATGTTCGATCAACCGAGGAGATCTTCATGATGAGAATTGCACGATCGTCCAGCGGCCGCTCTGACGCCGAGCAGCCAACGATACTTTCACAATCACTAAATCAACAATGATAATCATACGAATAATAATGGTAATAATAGCACTAATAGTAATAATAGCGGTAAATACACAGTAATAATAATTTACATTTACACAAGACTCTTTTTCCTTATTCGCGAACAATTAATCGTATTACCTAACTATATACGACATGCTTACGGTTATAATCATTCAGTTTATCGCAACGTGATTATAGTCCTCTACTCAACCGTAAATCTTTAATATTTCATCGCGAATTAAATCGATTCTTCTCTTTCATTCTTTATTATAATCAAGCTTGATTAAAGCCAAACTCTTTACGAATTCTCGTCTCTGAATCACATTTGATTTAAAGCGACTTATTCGCGAAACAGGACGAGGTACGCGAAAAAGATGATTGAGAGCGCATGAAAAGATAGAAAAAATAATCAAGCAATCGTAAAAAAATATACAGACACAAACACGTAATATACAAATCAATGGAGGGTACGACATGCGAGTCTGTTCTATCTTTGCAAAGATATCGCACCCACGTATATTAAAATCTCAAATTCGTGCAAGATGAAAAGAAAATTTGATGATGCGTGAAAATAATATAATAATTCTTTTTAACCAAATTATATGGAATAATTTACAAAGATATCGACAACCGTTCAATTTAAATCAATGATCGCACATCAGTGACTCCGTAAGCAAAGCGAGATTGGCGAAAAATGATTCGGATAATGAGGGTAGTAGCGCTCCATCTCTTTTTCACGGAAGTCTTCTCGCATATCGTTTTCATAAACTATCATCGCTGTCATCGGCATGAGGTTCGATCGAAACATTTCCAGCAAGTGGCACGGCACTTCCTTCTCTACTACTAGTTTCAACATCCTGATCCATTGAGTTACTCTGTGCTTGCTGTTCGTCTATAAGTACAATAATTTTGTGATTCGAAATAAATTATATAAATCATTATATTATCAATAATACATATTTGTATGGTAAAAATATTACGAACCATTTCACTTATATAAATATAAAATAATATATTTTTAACATAAATGTTTTTGAAGTTCTAAAAAATTAAAATTCTGTATAAATGCTAATATATCTGATAACTGTATTGCGTCGGTGGGGAGTCATCATCTCCTTGACCTAGACTCAATATAGCCTCCTTAATTTGACTATTAACACCCTTCGGATCTAAATCCGTTGCCCAACTAAAGTACATTAATGCAAGATGGGTATTGCCTAACTTTTTATGTACCTATTGCAAATATAAAGGTAATATAAGAAATGTTAAAAAAAATCTGTTTGATTAACTAATTTCTTACTTTTTCTATCAAATAATAGACTAGAGATTCTTTGGGTATAACTCGGGTATAATATTTTTTAGCTCCTCGAATTCTCTTCCATATGTCGACCAATAGAGAAGTTGATGCTCGCACGATGGGATTTGCATAAAATATTATACGGATCATTCATTAGCGCAGTGTTCAAAGTCTTTAATGCCTGATCGGTCTTCTTCAGGGCGTGTTGCACGACACCTATGTGACACATTAACGCAGAATTCTGCGGGTTTATTTGTAAGGCCCGTTTGAAGTGTAACTCCGCTAAACTATATTGTTCCTGTTTCGAAAATATCGTACCTAATCCGAACCTTTAATGACATGGAGAAATATTTTACATACGAATTCAGACAGCTTCAAAAAGTATACAATATTATAATATATACTAATAAAATTTTTTAGAATTTACCATGCATTATAATGTCTGGGATCGAGTCTGATGGCATTACGAAAAGCAGTAATCGCTTTATCTAGCTCCTCAGTCAAAACGTATTCATGCCCCAGTAATGTATAGGCATATGGAAAATTAGGATCCACCTAATAAGTAATAAAAAAAACGGTATATTACTTTTAATACAATAAGTCATATATGCACTGCTCCATTTTACGCTACAATTAAAATTAATGTGTAGTACCTGAATAGCTCTTTGGAAAAATTTGATCGCAGTTTCATGTTCCGTTTGCGCTGAGAAGAGATTGCCCGTGGCGCACCATG